GAGAACGCATTACAGTTCCGACCATGCAACACGGTACCCGCATCAAAAGAAAGTGTTATGTACGATGTATGTATACCTATATGTATATATATATATATACACGTAAATCTGTAGATAATATATTTATACATCCACGCGGTATTCTGAAAATACCTACAGTCAGCTATAATTGACGTTTGTTGAAACAAGTATAGTTTTAACAATTGTAAAACAGAGCTGCGTGCGTTTATCGTGCTGTGAGTTGTTTCGATAGATTGGACATGCCTACCGTTACTGGGCGTCATAAATAGTCGAACTTCTTGAAGTACATAAAATGGCAACAAAGTTTAGCTTTTGCCCCGTTGCAGTTGAAATTTTCTAAAGTACTATCAGAATATAAAAACATGTTGATTATGCAGGAGCAGATAAAATAGGTTGTGGTATATATTATTGCATATAGCCAGTATAATTGACTAACTGAACATTGAACAATATCACTACCAGTCTGAACTACGACCGAGACAGCCTGATATGCCTAAGTACAGCTGATTCGAACAACGAATATCTCGATAGAGTTATGATTAACAGTGTGATGAAAAGGCCGGTTGGCATTGTGAAGTTTTATTTCTTTTCGGTTGCTTGCTCCGAAAGCAATTTTTCATGCTAAACATAAATTACATCTGCGATTTTTCCGGCAGATAAATTCAGTTTGCTACGGTAGTTACCGGTGGGCGGAAGTTCACTTGATAAATGTTCGGTACTTGCGTGTCACAGTGCATCATAGGCTTGCTGACGGATCCCGAATCCGTACAAATTACAGACCTTGTGCCGTACCACGACAAAAGCATACGATTTTTTTCTTGGTGTAACAGATGAAGAATCACACCGATGGCGGTTACCTATGCTTATCTTTTACAATGGTTTCTATTAATAAAAAATTTGTTAAAACCCTATCGGCGATAAGGAGCTCTAAACGTATATTAGGAATACCTTGAATTCGCATAAATATAACATTTCTGTTTCGTGAACTGTGGTTCACCATTTGGCAGAACCGTAACTCAGTATACTGCTCTTCGCAGAGTTTCCTCGTGTTCTGCAACCGCTTCAGTCTGTATCTCTGTATCCTTCCTAATGACTATTCGAGCGCTACCTACCAGAGATCTCTGCGATTCTCACTCAAATGCATCAACGAACAAATGCAATCCCGACGATTTGTACACGTGGTTTACGCGTAACTGAAACGATGGGGTATGAGAAGATGGGTTTAGAGGATTCTAAACGGCACAAATAAGGTCCTGACCTAAATACTCCTCGACAAATGAAATAGATCAGAGGAAATGCCAAGGACGCCAAACAAGCTGTTCGTAACATCTCCAAACTTGTTTAATATTGTTGGTCGGCGTACACGAAAAAGTTTTTTAGTAAGTTTGGCCAACTTATTGTTGTTAGTGCTGTTGTTGATGGAATACTGCTTCAATTTGCTTGTGTATAAAGGTTATAATCTCCCTGTTATTGTCGTCGGAATAACACTTTGTTGCAACAATTCTGTCCGCTTTCTGACCTATTCTACATTGCCTGGTATAAAAGTGAGCATTCCCTGCTGACTAATGGCTTGAGACGAGCACGTTTACATCAACACTGTATCAATTCTCATTCGCCGAAGCGCTGCAGGCCTGTACGTTGTCCTATTTTCCTATGTACACAAGGGCAGATGTGTCCCTGAAAGTGGAAAGAGAGCCGTCCTATTGCGGTACGACTGAATCCCACCTGATAACGCTAGCTTCTGGCGGGGAGTTTCTAAATATCAAGTAGACAAATTAAGGCTGCCCTTGATCACAAAAAAGGGTCCACATGCCGCGATCCTGGTTTGCCATCTTTCCTGTATGTTTTCGGAATGTTGCTCATTGTTTGTATGGTGCAGGATTTTTACAGGAGTGAACAGTGCGAGTAGTTCGGAGTAGCGGTACCAAACCCAGCTAAACTCACTTTCGCTTTAGGTAGATTTGTTTATCTAATCTACCTTTACCGAAACCTAGTACTTAGCGTTGAAATAAAATACAAAAAAACTAATGTGTCCAAGATACATATTATTTAATAAGTCTTTTAAAGTGGATTAAATATTCGATAGAATACTTCTCTCCCTATGAGTCTGTGAACCCATCAACATGAATTGACTGGTTTATTTTGTATGCGATTCCTGCCCATAGTGTGCACCAGGCACGTATCTGGAGAATTTCAATATACTGAGATATACTTTAGTTGCTACAAGTCGCGTTTACCGTTGCTACCTAGGTATCGTCATAGGGTAGTAGAAGCTAACACCACCTTCTCGTGCGTTCTAGAAAAGCCCTGGGACAGCTGTATAATGGACGCAAATGTAATCCGTTTATTTTTTTTTAGAGATTTTTGTCATTTTCTCAGTTGCGTGTTGTTTAACTGTCTACTATTTAATACAGTACACACACAACACAATGTCTCAGGTCCCGACAATATGATCTACTAAGTTTTTCCTACAGACTTTCATAGGTAAGTTAATCGTCGAAGATATGTAGTTCGTGTTGAACGAATTTTTGATCCCGGAAGGGTCCGAGAGCTGAGAAATATCTACAAATCATCTATATCGTATCTATTGGGTCTATGTCAAACTGTTTCTTCTAGCTCTCTTTCATCTTTGTCGATCGTATAAATCTCGCAGACGGCTATAGGTGGATGGTTCACAAGACAAGAATTAAACAACTTGCTTGGCCTGTTGTCTATTTTGTCCTGGTATCTCTTCATCCCTCGGCCAATAGCTGTATTGACGGCTATATAGCCATGGTTAGTCATACATTCAATGAAAAGGAAGAGAGACGAAAAAAGGATCTTTTCAAGCAAGGGCTATGAGCTGATTAGCACTGGGATGAAGGCACTAGGTAGTGGATGGCTCATACTTCTCGAGTTTCCTTTTCTCTAGCTGACGTCGATGCCTGTTCAAGTGAGCGTGCCTCGACAATTTTACCGGGTTCCAAAGTCCAGTTCAGAAAGGGATGTTGGCGTGCGATGGCCTCTGGCTATAAGCACTATACACATGTGTAAGTGGGAGACTCGAGTGTCGCAACAATATTTGCCATTACTGTTTTACGACTCCCTCCAAGAATATCGATATAGTTCGCTAGATCTACCTGGTGCGTCTGTGTGCAGAAAATGCCTAAAAAGCTCTGTTCCAGTACAGGATTTCCTTTATATTGTTGAATAGTTTTACTTGTAGAGCTTAGTTCGAAGTGCTCTAGTGTCTAGCTAAGCCTGCTATAGACAGGCCTTCTTATTACTTAAGAATGCGGGGCAACTCGCATGTGGCTCTTGTCGGGTACTTCCTACGAACCTCTCTGTTGGCGAAGCGAAGAAGAAAAAAGTTACGAGAACGTTGAAAGCGAAGATTCTGAGGCCTATAAGTGAAATGCTGTCAGGCATTACTGGTACCTCGATCGAGTGCAAACACTCTCCTTGTCTTTTTTGCATCAGGCTATTGAGCGAATTTAGTCGACATATATAATGTTGGTAGCGGCGGCGGCGGCGGCGGCAGATACAAACTTATCATCATATGTAGGGTTCTAGTCATGGAAAGCGCCATTTCAAATTTCAGCTTTGAGACAGAATAACTCGATCGACGAGTTAAAGCTGAGAAGTTATCACAAGTTAAGTTATGCTATATAGGAACATTATATCAAACGTAAATATGTGAATGGACAATTATGCACACAGAGAATCGAACGAGCGTCCTTTACTTTTGCATAGATTTTGTATCGATCGTCAAATAGGACAAACTCTCCCACAGTCGACAAGCGAGTCCTTTCTAATCAAGCATAGTTGGCTCAACGTGTCTGACTGATTTCTAGTAAACCATTTATCCAGCGTGTCTGATTGTCGTCTCGTTTTTGTTAGCTGATGGTCTCACACCGACGAGATTCAATGTATTTTCTTGAACGGATCTCACACGTACAAACATTTCAGACGTCAACAAAAAGAGCTAGAACATAGGGCTATAATTGATCCGTTGCTTGCCTTTATCATACTGTTTTCAGTAGATCAAAAAACGTATCAAAGTAACGTTCGGTCGTTGTCGGCACGAAGCTAGGATTAACTGAGATAACCGCTGCCGCCGCCGTTAGAGTAATTGAATCGCTGAACGATGATTGATAAGGCAGTCCTGTGATAATTGAAACACTAGTTTCAACGGGCGGACAATAGAGGAAACAAAATGCACCGAAAGAGGCAAATCAGTATAGCTAGCCACTACGATTGACCACTGTGGGGAATGCTGCCACTTTGGTAAATGTGCACTGCTGTGCCTGTCATTGAGAATTGTTGACCGTCACTAAATCCCACAATGAGACAACGACTCAGTTTTGTTTCTAAGACACCGTTAGAACCGGAAGCAGATGTACGCGAGGACGACAGAAGGTAGTTAAGTGTGCAGCCCGTTGGTAAACCGCTGTCCGGAAATAGACAGGCCCAAAAATGGTGGTGGAAACACGTAAAAGCTCAGTATTACAGTTCAATATAGCACAGCTGACGCTTTTAGCCGACGTGCGACCGAAGCCTCGAATCCGAAACGAAATCTGTATGCGCCGATATACATCAATCCAACAGCACGAGTCGTATTGCTTCGTCCGTGCAAGTACATTTGCACGATTTAAATTTTAGGCTCTGACGAATGTGAAGACTTTTCCATAGGCCGTAATCTTTTTTTCAGCCAGCCAGGCAGCCAGCCAGCCAGCCAGGACGACAAAAATGAGGAAGCTCACATACAGTTTGGTAGAGTAGTATCGTTTGTGATCAGTACGTCACACTTGTAGCGAACAGGGCCACTCAAATACAGTTTACCCATACTATCCGGACGACAAAGCAGTAAAGTCTGGTGACGTTTGGAGTGGGTATCAATTGTTGGTCGTTTAATATTAACAGATAATTTATAGCTGAGGCCAGTACGGATCATAACGCGTGTATTTGACGAATCGTTCCGGTGCATTTTCTTATTGCAGATAATCCAACACGAAATCGAGTCGAAGGGGATCCTAGTTAAAAGTCTATTGAAGCGTTCCGATCAACTTCTTCTACTCGAACGGGAGCAGTTCGCCGTAGCCAAAACAGGTTCACCCGAAAGTCCGCAGCATCTCGTTGAGAAAAAGTCGCTTGCCACTTGCACCGCAACAAGCTGCCGTACCACCTCCCTTCAGCAACAGCAACTAACCAGTGTCCTTAATCAGCCACGTCCTGCGAACGCTCAGGTAGGATTTGACGTCAATCGAGTGGCCCGAATAGCAGCGAACCTCGAACGTCGCTGGCACAGCTTGTGGATACGCAGTCTCGAATGGCAGTGCTTTTTCGAGCAACTGGTCGGAACGCAAGAACGACAAGAAAGCGGTCAACACCAGGACAAGGTATGTAACAATCGTGGAAAATAACATCTGGCCAACGCTGTATGCTGAAATGATCTAGGGTTAAGAAATGTTGACTTAACAAGCCAAACCTTCATAGTTATATTAACTAAATGCGTAAATGTCTAAAGGCCCTGTGTAGCTGGGCAAAGAGTATGACTATGGGGATAGTAGCTTAGAATATATTCCGAATAGAGAGCGAAGGTCTAAGTTCAAACTAAGCTCTCTTTACCACTGTTCAGGAGAGCTTAAGTAGCCGAAAGTCTAAACCGGTACTGCTAATAAGGTCACTAAAAAAAGAAAAAACCGATGTACGTGCGCATTGTCAACTTGTAAAGTAATTGATTAGTTAGGAAATGAATCACATTATGTCTGAACGTATTAATATATCTATGTAAAAATACGCACATGTACGATGGATAAGGTTCAATCGTCTGCATTGATTTAGACAAACGTATAGAATTGTCAACCACACTATACTCAATCGCAGCAGGAATGATATTCGGTACATCCGCTATAGGCCTATCACCGGCAGAACTCGTTAACGGTTTCGATCTGATGATAGAGTCAATGATACTGTGTGATACAGAAGCACCTAAACTAACGCTCACCAATAAAAAAAACGGGCAAACAAATACAAAAACCGAGCTAGCGCTGACAAAGGCGAGGACCGTTTCGGAAGTTGTCTAAATGTGCTGATCCCTTTTCCTTCTATAATTTACACGGACAGTCTGCTTCATTCCTATGCTCTCGTCTCTTCTCCTGCTTTATCCACCGGCGGTCGAACGGACTGACGAACGGTCAAGTTTCATGTCAGCAGAGATACATTAGACGTACTGATGTGTATTTTGTTTTTCTTCGGTCCTCTTGTTTAAGAAAGGATCTTCCATTTTCGAGGCACGGTTGGCCGGTGTAACCGGTACAGCGGCCACAGTGATTCTCTATTTCTTGGCCCCTCCTCTTAATGGGTGCGTTCAATAAAACGCCCCGTCGTCTCGAGATGAATCCGGCTGTGGCAAAGATGGCTTACGCAATAATTACCATGATTACAGCCGCAATAATTAGCTCGTTTATTTGTTCCGTGTTTCTCTTCAAATGATTGGAAAAAAATATTGAATGGCAGCTGGATCTGCGTAATGGCTATGCGATGGAAAAAGGGAAGTAACATTTCCCAAAGCTATAAACGCTGTCTTAACAATAATTCGATTTTTGTATACGAAGCAAATGAGACAAAATAAATATCTAAATATTTCTAGGCGGCCGGGCTGAAGCGAATAGCCCCCATTGATTGTTGGTTTCCATTTGTTGTTATCGCCTCTTAAACGTAGACGTTGATCGCCACATATGAAGGTTAGGTTATGATCGGAGCGATTTCTAACAAACGACTTATTTTTAATCATTCCGTGTGTGCTTGGCGGCGTTATTCTAATACCTGCAAAATTGGACCTCTAAGGACGGACACGATAGTTTGGGTTTGGCCCGGGTCTTCCGTAAAGCCTTGTGATGTATATAGTTCATCTTAATTAACATGTATGTTGTGTGAATGAAACGACTAGGCGAGCTAGAAAATGCGCAAATATCGAACGAGATCATTCCTTTGCCTTTGTTGACATGTAAATCAATCTTAGTTTGCAGTAACATATAGATTAGGGCTATATGTGCGCCTTTTAGATAGTTTAGCCAAAATCAAGATTTTTGTAGTCAGAAGGTACTACTACCTCGTCCATCCTCATCCGACAGCCTTGGTGGTAAGCCACAATCTATTATTATTCTTCCGTTACTGATGTAATAACTGATGTTTGTCCGCAGCGGCCAAGGAAATTAAATCATAATAACGGCAGGCTTTTAAGCATCGATAAACTAGTTAGTGAGACTACTGCCTCGGAGGTATAGTATGTAAACATATATGTTCCTCTGAGCAGACCTCATCCATCGAAGTTTCGATAAGGCCTCATCTTAATCGTGATTGATGATGGAGATTCATAATTTCCAATGACAATCAAAGACTGTACATACGTAGGACAACAATCTGGTACGGTCAAATAAACCATACTTTTGAGCTGCCCTTGATGTACTTCTAATACATAGGCTAAACACAATAGTTCTTGCACACGCAAAATCAACCTGTGTTAGTTAATCGCTATGAAGCCCTTCGGATTCTACCCAAGAATAAAAAATATGAAAACAGCCTCGTTTGTTAAAACAATTTTACTGTACGTTAGGTATGGCGCATCGTCTGACGTACGGTCAATTTAAAATCGGTCGACTAATAGTATCAAGCTCAAAAAATAACGTTTTTTTTAAACGCGTCATCTTCTATGAGCTACAGCGGAAGTGTAGTTTATACCGATTTGCGTCCGCAGAAATAACGCAGATCTTTGTTGTTGAAATTAAAAAAAAAATGGCAGCAATTGTACATAATCTGATCACCTCACGAATAACGTTAAGACTGATCCAGTACAGAAAATTGTTACGTGGACTGTTACGTCGAGTTTCACTGATATCGAACATCTCTTTTCAACGGTTATTCCGATAAGCATCTATACCAGGCCGTTGGATCGTCCATTTTCACAACAAACGGCCAAAAACAGGAAATATGCCGTCCGCGTCGCAGCTAGTACACCAGACAGAAATGTCTATACACAGCGTCAGTAGCCTCGAACACTATTTGTCAGCAATAAACAAGCAAAAGCCAAAGAGAGAACAGATGCGAAAATAGAATGAAAAAAACTTCATAGGATATCAAATAATTTTACCAATATTTTTGAGTCAGTATAAAAAAAAAAAAAAAAAGATAGAAAACCGATAACTAAAGACATATCCGTTTTGAAACTTGACCATTTATTTCGGTTTGTCGCTTACCTAGTTGTCAGCTGGTTAGCGAGTACAAACGTAAGTTAGATGGCTAGTAACGTCCGTCTGTCTATCCAGCAGGTCCGCGATTCGCGCTTTTGATTTATTTGACATTGGCCGAACAATTCTTCTTGACCAACCTATCCTCCTGATCCCGGCATAAAGTTGATACATCGGTCAAGGCCGATATACTGACCTTGTTCCCAATGGTAAATTTGTGGCGTTGTATTATACGCTTTTGAAACGTGACCAAGTAGGTTGAAATTTACTTGTCTCATAGTTTACAAACGTCTCAGATAAAGCATTATCTAAATTCAGAGAAATAGATTAGATGATATTTAACCACGGACGGTTTGCAAACGGTGGCCCAGCGTCTATGAGGCGCCTGATTAAATGGAGAAGCTATTTCAGCGTAATCTCGTCTTATGGACTGTAATATAATAGAGTATTATGTTTGCTTTATGGCATTCGTATCGCTTCCGAAGTAATGTCTTTTATTATGGTATCATAAGCGTTTTTAAAGAAATGTTTGTTAACTAATATATATATATATATATATTTATATAAGAAATGACTAGCACGATACACCTTTTGTTTGATGCCGGCTTGTCTGTGAAAAAATCTGTTTCTATGTGACCAGCTCTGGACGTCCAGGATTAAAGTCTCCGTAAAATCTATCGCGTCGCATAGTATTATCGCGTTTTCATCAAATGACTACTCTTAAAGATGTGGCAGTATATTTTAAATCATACTAATAATAATGCAGTCTTGATCTTTGACATCCGACCTAGTCGGGTCTAGTTCCGGGAAATATGGACATTTACCTGACTTGTCGACAGCGCTGGCATGCCAGTTGGCTTCGGTTTCGATAAGGTATAATTTTTCCATTAAACTAATGCCTGTATAAGAGAAAACATGATTTGTACAATTTCAGTTGTGAACATTTCGCATCAGTGGGAGCTAGACTTCTACAATATCTTCGCTGGCATTTCTTTTACAGACGATATCACTGAATAGTGAATGTGCAGATAGATATCTAACTCTTTTTTGTTCTGTTCTGCATAAACATAGATAGAATTAGAAATAGAGTCCCAGTAGTACAACAGCATAATGGGCAACCGTTATTAAATAAAGAAACAGTAAAGGACATACGTTGACACGTCAGAATCACGCCTTATGCCCATCAAGTACTACTTGGATTGTTTGTATTCGGTGAAATTTACAACCAAAAGTCGAAAGCAATACGCAGCTAGTTGATAGACGTAGAAAAAATTCTAAGGTCGCCGAAGGTACCTAACACGTGGGAAAGGCGTGAACACGTATCAGATGTGTTTTTCATTCACGCCTATTATGGCTGTAACAATAATAGTATCGTTCTGGGATAATTTCGACGCTGGAAAGGTATTATTTTTTTCATAGAGCACAAGAAAAACGTTTAATGTCGAAAAGAAAGGCACTATAGTATTGGAAATAGCATAGTAACTTCGCTAACAAAACATATATATATATATATATATATATATATATATATATATATATGAATTCGCTTACAGTCATCTTGAAGAAGCGCACAAGAAGACGATGCCTGATCGATTTCGGCTCTGCTCATGGTATTTTCTCATTGCGTGATGTGCCATATTTTGCATGTTATCTGTTTCGTTGTTTCTGCATGCGGCAAACGTGTCACAGGCTTAGCTAGAATAGATTTACTATATGAGGTAAGTGTTTTGATTCGACTTTTCATCATAATATTTCTAGGACGCAGAGAGCCCTTCGGTGTCTTCAAATGAGACCTGGGATGAGCCAAAGAGCAAACAGCCCCGTTTGGATCTCACTCTGATTTTGCCTCCCGATATCGAACATCATATCATTGAAAGCCATCAAAGGGAGTATAGATCAACGAAACTATCGACCATTGAGAACCTTGGGGCTAACCAGATCAACATGTCAGTCAGCGCTCCTAAAATGGACAACATTAGTGTGGCACAAAACAAGCAAATGCAGCATTCTAAAAAACACAAACAATCTCATCCTCAGCAAGTGGTAAGTTCTAATATGCTATTTACGAAGAGTCGATAAGTTTACAGATATATTCTATATACTTATTCCTACCTGCCTCGTTCATGTAGACACGTGCGTTTTTTTCACTTGGTAAATTGATTTGTGCAGGCTGATCAATGATCAGAGATTAAACCCGCTTGAATTAAGCCTGAATGTCATACAAATGAGCGTGTAAAATAGTCACAATTGGAGTCGATTATGATTCCACTATGTATCTTGTGCAGGCAATGGCATTGGCTGTAGGTGCGGTTAGTCATCCGGAAGCAGGAAGCCACAGTCCACAGACAAAACTCAACAAGAGGCCACCATCCGGCAACTACGAAGGGGTTCGTATTAAGCGTAATTCATTACGAACTCCCACGGTAATAGAGAGGTTTTTGTCTGAAATCGAAAATATAGAAGAACTTTAATTACTTACTTTAATTAATAATCAATCGTCTTTTTTTAGGACGTCTTATAGGATGAAGTCACTTCTTGTCTGTCGTGTATATTAAGGGTAAACATTGAGAGTAAACTGCAGTCATTAAGTTGAACACGAAGCGAGTCTTGAAAGGTGCATGGCGGTCCGTAATCAGCGTAATTCAGTTAATGTGTCCACACCGCTGTGTCGTCTGTTGTCGCTTGTGGGCCAATTGAACGTTTCGTCTCTGGGTTTCAAAGAAGGACGCTGTCGCTGAATTTTAATATGTTTATTACTCTCGTGTCGTGTCGTGTCGAGCCGCATCTGGCCGAAACAGAAACAATTCAAACATTACTTCGTTCAAGCTCCGAACGATGGCGCCACTGAATGCTATCATTGACCATTAAGACCTTTATCCGACTAGCATGAGCTGCTTTTACGAGAGGCACAACTCTGTGTGTTCCGGTGGCGTTGCCGAAACCGTCAGCTGCGCTACGATTTTTCTTAGCATTGTCCACATCTTCGATATCTAAAGTTCTCGTTAACGTTTGTTACTTGCAACAATTCGAACGTATAACTTTTCGGCTGCTTGAAAGAAGTACAATGCATGTCAAGCTAAATCTAGACATTATACTAACAATATGCAAGACAATATATAGCATATCGCGAGTTAGGTCCTAGTAGATTAGCGGTCTCGAAATTCCGACAAATCCTATTGCTTACACTTTTCAACCGCATGCTGGGCGCTTACGGCACCGGCTTTCAAACGACGGGATCTAAATAGATCACTTGTCAGCGATCGTAAAAACAAAAGTATAATGCACGTATCGTGTGTAAATTTATGGCCATCTTAGCAGTGATCTCACGTAGTGTCTGTTGCAGATTCGCCTTCAGATCACGTCTTCATATTAGCCGAAGCTAAATGCAGTCGCATTGGCCTTCAATACGTTGTTCAACTTATTTATAAAAAAAAAAAACCCTCATCCTTATACCAGCCTACAGAATTTCAATATTTTCATCTCATGTAACTCTAACTGGAACTTGAATTCCTATAGAAAGGAAACACATTCATATAGACACTTATCGACACCTTATGGTCTATCTGGTACCCATAATACCTTTACTAGAGTGCCCTTGATTTGTTGGCCTAGAAGAACCCACTAAAATGTACTTGACCCCATAAATCATCGCTATTTGCAAATCCTCCCTGGAACTAAATGACGAATAAGTGGCCCTGAGGCGTTTTGCCCCTTTTCGAATTTCGGTTAGCTATATTTAGTGATTATAGCGGTTCGATTGTGCATAACAGTAAAGACATTGACAACGCAATCCCTTTAGGGCGACTCCCGCCAGTGGACTTTGCGGTAATCATTCTTGGCAGTGATCTCGTACAAGTCCGCCTTTCACAACGGTTGTTGGAAAACTGGTGGCTTAACTAGCGGTTGTACTTGCATTTGGTAAGTCAAAGGTCAGCAAAGACCAGCTTAGGGATGCGGTATATGGGTTGTGTATTATGTTGCCATTACGTAGCCGTCTGAGCTGTGTCCAACCCCGGTAGCATATATCGTATGATCAATAGAAACGGTACCCAGATCTTCACCGTTCTCACTTCAGCCATAAATTGTGTAACCTTCGTGCCCTAGCAACAATTACTAGAGTTTAGCAGTGTGATTCAGGTTTAAAGTAACGCTCCAAGACTCATTGTTTGCTATAATTTTGGTATACGCCCGAGACTTCAAGCAAACCTGTCGCTGCATGGATTTGCAGTGAGTTGTTTAGCAGTACATGAATCATAGATTAGATATTTTCTCTTAATTTAAAGTGATCTGCCTCATGATTAAATATTTCCAAATATTTGGATTATGTTTTGCATTTGCAATCGCTACCCATATTGAGTTAGTAAATCTTTTTTGTCACTACATACATTTTAGAGACGTAAAAAATAATTTTTCAAAAATAAAAGTAAAAAATAATTTTTTGCTCTGCAAACTGTTTCCTGTTAGCTTTGATCTACTATACAGCATATGTCGGTAGATTTATCAGTCTGTAGTTGAGTGGTGTACCCCATCTTACTATCCACAGGGGCAAGATGTGGGATACAGCTCCGAAAGCTCAACACAACTTTCAGCCGAAGACAAAGCCGGTCCGGATGAGCTGATGCGTTTCTATCCATTTGGGACTGTCAATGGGTCTGCTGATACAACACCCGAGAGTCCAGAAATGCCTTCAAGAGATTCGGGACTTTCCGGAGGCGGATCACCTCGCAAATATTTTCCTCTGTCCGCAAAATGCTCGCCCATTGATGACATTGATCCCGATGACGATCAGGTAAAAGTTGTCCCATAAACTGAAATGTTTGCTATATTGATAGTAGTACTTTCGCTGTAACAGCTTAGTTAACATAAACAGTAGTGATTTGTTTCACAGGATGTTCATCGTGAGAAATGAAAAATACCGTACATACAAAAAAAAGTTGTTACTTGCCGTTTTCCGTTTAACTTATTATTACTTGGGGGCTTCTAGCCCTTATGAAAAATATTATTCGTACCATGCCTTTTATTCGAATATGCTGTACGTGTGCTCAGTATACAAGTTCTGATGTGTCCCTCAGATCAATTAGAATTTGCATGCATTTGGATTTGTCTTGCAGGTACTGAAGGACGTTCTAGATGAGGATTACGTTGCTAGTTCAACTATGCGTCTTTCTGGGTCCGCTCAGGAGTTCTACACATTGACTTCGACGGCGCTGGACAGCGACGCTGAAAATGTTGCTCGCCACGATGATTCCCAGAAGCAGCTGCAGGAACAGCTTTTAGAGGAAACGCTCACACCAGAAAAAGGTAATTTAATTTAAGTGAATCACGTGTAGTTTAAACATTAGCTCAATGCTAGAAAACCACGGGACTCCCGGTTCTAATCTCGCAAGTGCATACAAATCGATGCAGTCTTGTGTCTGTAGAACACTGCTATTAATTGTAATATCAATAATTCCATGGTATACGCGGATTCTGGAGGTCTCTGCTTTTAGCTTCATTTTTTTTTCCTAAAAAAATATAAACTAGACAATTAGTTTACAATTTGGACAATGACGATCATTTTAAATATATGCGAAACTAGGATGCACAGTTGGATATATAAGAATGAGAAAGTTAATACATATTTTTGTTTTTTTAAAGCCATAATATTAAGAGGTTACCTGTTGATATCACGATTGCATTGTGTGTAATGCTTTTGCTCCTGTTCATTAAATTTTTAAGATCCGTCGTCAGAGGTCGATCGACCCAGTGAGAATCAGCTGGGTCATTCAGTCACCATCGACGACCAGGTAGTGCAGTTGCGTCGAAAACCATCGGCTTCACGCCATTTTGCCCCTCTTGATTTCGGTAACTCGACGACTTCTATTGATAACGGTAGCGGCAAAGTCAACCGAGTTCAGGAGTGGTTGCAAAGCTGTGAGGTACGCGCGGCCGAACAGAAGATCACTGAAGAGCTAGCCGCAGAAGACCAGGACCAGCCGGACAACAGCCTTGATAGGACGGAGCAGGATTCATGCGATGCAAGCGGAGAACTCACAAACGAAAGCAGCTCATCATCATCATCATCATCATCTTCTGATAGCGAGAACGAAACGGGTGGAGATGCTGACGAACGGCTGAAATCTACGACGACCCTAAATGCTGGCTCAGTGGAGACACTAGCCACTGTAGCAGCAGCAACTACACCGACGGATTCGGAAGCACCGTCCAAAGTAGTCAATCTGCGGAGCGGCAAGAAACGCCGCTCCAGAGATAGACCCTGGAGTGTAACCGAAATGCCACAGACGGCAATCACTACAGCTGTACAACTGCCAACAAGCATGTCGCGCTCGTTTACTGCTGCGACCAGCAGTGGCACGTGCATGACACAGTCAACCTTGATGTCGACGTCACCGACTGGCTGTCTTATCGAAGCAGCAACCGAACGTCGAAGGCACAGCCGCGCCTCAAAGACGAAGACAGGCTCGAATGCCTCATCCGGATCAGACTCGGAGGTAAGCGGTGATGGAACTGGAGTAAGTGCGAAACGTAACTCGTCGACAACCTCACTAATTAACCTATGTGAGCCGGCTAAGGACAAGGCTACTCCTGTCCGCCGGCGAAGGTTAGGATCCAAAGCGCTATCAAAGTCCAATCTCGCTTCCAATCGGAGCAGCCACTCGAGCGCCAACGATAATATGCAGGTAAGAATAAGAACTTTTACAGAAGAAGTTAAACTAAAATGATCATTAATATAATTTCTCAAGAATATTCTTCGTTCAAGCTTCGAATACAATAGATCGTACATATATGTATCATAATGGAGAAAGTTAATGAATTAAAAATTTAACATTTTTATATGCCTTAAAGCTACTAAAATGTTGCTTAGCCTAACGGCATTCGCTAGAGTAAATACAGAACCCATTCAATCTAAGGATCAAAGGCGCCTGATGTGTGCCGGCTTTGCTATACTACCACAAAAAGCGTTCTCATCAAGGCGATCCTCGGGTCTGCGACGATGCTCTATCTCTATCTCTATCTATGTATCTATCTATCTATCTATCTATCTATCTATCTATCTATCTATCTATCTATCTATCTATCTATCTATCTATCTATCTATCTATCTATCTATCTATCTATCTATCTATCTATCTATCTATCTATCTATCTATCTATCTATCTATCTATCTATCTATCTATCTATCTATCTATCTATCTATCTATCTATCTATCTATCTATCTATCTATCTATCTATCTATCTATCTATC